TTTAAAGAAGCTCCATGAGATTATTATTTTTATTTTTTCACTTTAAAATCTTTAATTCTAAGCCGGGCGGTGGTGGCGCACGCCTTTAATCCCAGCACTCGGGAGGCAGAGGCAGGCAGATCTCTGGGAGTTCGAGGCCAGCCTGGTCTACAAGAGCTAGTTCCAGGACAGGCACCAAAGCTACAGAGAAACCCTGTCTCGAAAAACCAAAAAGAAAAAAAGAAAAAAAAACCAACCCTTTAATTCTATCTTATGTGTATGGGTGTTCTGTCTACAAGTTATGCCAGTACTGTGCCTGTGGAGGCCAGAAGAGGGTATCCAATACCCTGGAACTGGAGTTACAAATGGTCATGAGCTACCACATGGGTGCTGGGAATCGAACCCAGGTCCTCTGCAAGAGCAGTTAATGCTCATAATCACTGTGCCACCTCTCCAGTCCCTATGTCTTTTTTTTTTAAGTACCTTTCTATATAATCCTGACTGTCCTGAACTCCCTATGTAGACAATGCAGACCTCAAACTCACAGAAATCTGCCTACCTCTGTCTCCCACCTATCTCTATTTTTAAAGATTGGCCTAAGAAAGAACTGAAATCAACCTAGCTGTCCACCAACAGATAAATGGATAATGAAAATTTGGTGTGTGTGTGCGCACACAGACACACACACACCACAATAGACTACTACTCAGCTCTAAAGAAAACTAAAGTTAAAAAAGAACTGTAGGAAAATGGGTAGACTTAGAACGTGTAATGTTGAGCAAAGTCACACACGCTCAGAAAGAAATGGCATGCTCTCGTATGCAGAATCTAGCCAATGATATCTGTATACATACAAACAAATGCCCGTGTGGGTACAGTACAACATGATGGAAAGGGAACAAGAACGGCTACCCACAAGGGGATGAGGAAAGACTGAATAGTAATTAATGGACACAGTCATAACAGAGAATATAAGTGAATTGTTTTTCTAGTTCTAATTCTGCCACAGACGTTTTTGAGGTTAGTGGTAGTACATAAAATATATTCAATATTGAAAGTATAAATTTTAATGTGAAGCTTCACAGCTTCTGCTCTGAAAGCCTATCCTACACGTACATAAGGGCTGCAGAGATGGTTCCGGGGTTAAGAGCATTTGCTCTTGCAAATGACCTGAATTCAATTTCCATGGCAGCTCCCAAGTGTCTATAACTCCAATCCGAAGGGATACAGTGTCCTCTTCTGACCTCCATGGGCAACAGACATGCATGTAGTGCTCATACATACATGCAAACCTTCATAAATATAGTAAAATAAATACATTATTGAAGAAATTTCTAAAAACTAACTATACAAGTTCATTGAATTGTACAGTCTTTAAGTCTTATTAACTTTGGTGTGTGGCCGGGCGGTACTGGTGGCATATGCTTTTAATCCCAGCACCAGGAGACAGAAGCAGGCAGATCTCTGTGAGTTCAAGGACAGCCTGGTCTACAGAGCAAGTTCCAGAGCAGGCACCAAAGCTACAAAGACAAATCCTGTCTCCAAAAACTAAAAAAAAAAAAAAACAAAAAAAACCAAAAAAAACCACACCTTTGGTTTAGTCAGATTCCCTACAGAGAGCCTGAGGAGGTTACTGGTGGCTGTACAGCCCAGCTGCAGTGCACACCCCCGTATTTTGGAGATGCCAATACCATGGGATGCTGCTGTGGAGTAGAACCAGCCTGAGCTTAGAAGGGCAACTCCATGTGCCATGGACAGCAGAGCTGGAGAGATGTCATAGCCCACGCCCCTCAGAGCCCAAAAGAATGGCGAATGGGTCCTAGATGTCAACCACTAAATTTTTTTCACTAAATGTTTTTGGTTTTGCTTTCTTCTGAATGTGCCCTAGTTCTTCCCTACTAGAGTAAGAAAGTATTTAAGTTAATTTTGATTTTACATTTTAGAGAGGGCTGAACTCTGAAGGTGACCATTGATAGTTTATAAAGAGTCTGAATTGGGCAGGCAGATTTAGAGTCAGTAGTCAGTCTAGTTTACAGAATGAGCTCCAGGACAACTAAGACAATTTGGAGCAAGGGTTCTCAAGCTGTGGGTTTCCAACCCTTTTGGGTGGAATGATCCTTTCACAGGGGTCACTTAACATCCCCAGAAAACACAAATACTTACATTGTAATTCATAACAGTAGCAAGACTATAGTTACAAGTAGCAATGAAATAATTTTATGGTTGCAGTCACCACAAGAGGAACTGTATTAAAAGGTCATAGCATTAGGAAGGTTGAGAATCACTGATTTAGAGACCCTGTCCAGGGAGAGCAGGAGGGGGCGGGGGAGATGGAGAGGGAGAGGGAACCTGAACTTTTAAATACAGGGACTTTTAAAGTTAGAAATGTTTTATGTTGTAATATTGATATTAATATGATATTTTGAGGGTAAACAAAAAGGAAAGATCACAGCTTAATGGGTGATACATTTGTGGCAAGTTGACAAGGGGTCAATTGTGCTGGCTGTTTTTTATCAATCTGACACAAACCTAGACATATCTGAAGAGAGAATTTCCTTATTTCTCTCCCCCTCGCTGGTGTGTGTGTGTGTGTGTGTGTGTGTGTGTGTGTGTGTGTGTGCAGGTTCCTGCAGAGGCCAGAAGAGAGCAGCCAATCCACAGCAGTGAATTCCCTGGAGTCAGAATTATAGGCAGTTGTGAGTCACCCGACATGGGGGAACAGCAATGTTCCTCACTTCTGGACCATCTCTCCAGCCCCTGAAAGAGGGAATCTTAACTGAGAGAATGCATCCTAAGACTGGCCTAGAGGTAAATCAATGGAGTACTGTCTTGATAAATGATTGACAGAAGAAGGCCTACCCCATTGTGGGTGGTGTCACTCCTGGACAGGTGGTCCTACCCACAGACAAGTGGCAGGTGGTCCTGATGTACAAGGATGCAAACTGAGCAAGCCAGGAGCAAGCAAGCCAGTGAGCAGCATTCTTTCATGGCTTGCTTCTGCTTCAGTTCCTGCTTCCAGGTCCCTGCTTTATGGACTATGATATAAAACTCTAAGCTGAGATAAACCCTTTCCTCCCTAAGTTGCTTTTGGTCATGGTGTTTAATCACAGCAATAGAAACCCTAGCTAAGACAGCTCTTTACTAACCTAATTCTAACATCTGGAGCTGTGATTCCTGTAGAATCACTAACAGTCTTAACTCATACTGAGTCCGCCTAACCAATGGAATGTCAGGACTCAGCAACAATACCACAGAACATCAGCATCCTGCAGCTCCCTGGGGACTGTGGCTTGTTCTGTTGTCCAGCATCTCAAAAGGCTCGTGCCATTTATCCCCAGCCTGGGAAAATACCAAAATTCAATATTCAAGAAATGTCTCACTAAATACAAACCACATTGCTCTCCTATCACCGTAGTCAAAACCAAGTTGAACCGTTTGTAAGGTAGGACCCATCTGGACTTGGATTCTACTTAAGTTGCTTAAAGACAATGTATATAAAGTGGGAAGACACCATGCCTGATGTGGGGTAGACAGAAAACAAGTCGTTATTTCATTTATAGCTGCCTTGAAGTTTTCAGCAAACCCATCATACCAATTGTTCCTTCCTCAACGTTAGACAGCACGCTGCTAATGATGATCTAATGGAGAGGCTTTCCGGTCAGTCTTTATCACTAACTTTCACAGAATACCTAAATCTTTCTGTTCTTCCACACCTCCATTCTCAACCAAGTTGCACAGCTTTAGAACAAAGAGGAGCCTCCACGCTCAGAGAGATCTGGTGGACTAGCCACACTGCAAAAACTTCTCGGGGACTTGATTTGAGACAAAGATCTAATTCCAACCCTTCAAAACACACCATAATGAGAGAGACATCCTGTCTTAGCCTCCAAGTTTAATCAGAACCACCATCTTTTCCTTTACCACCTCAGAAGGAAGTTTCTTGCTTCGACTCCAAAAGATACCCCTATGGAACGATACACGATACTTTTAATTCTAAATCTCTAAGCTCTTGTGTTCCTTTAAACCACTGTTTATCCCACCCTGCTCCTCAAAATTCTTCTGACATTTCAAGATTCCTCTCCGATTTCTAGATTGTGAATACCAAAGTCAAAGGGGCTGTTTTTCTCTTGATGCATTTAATTCACCTGTCAAGGTGTTGCCAGATAGGCCAAATCCCAGATACTGGCTAGCAAAGCGTAGCTCCGTTTTAACAACAGACACTAAAGAGGCCATTATTAACTATGCCTTCTCAAAGTGCGTAGCGCACTAACCGTTGCAAACTTGAATGAGAACGGAAGAACTGACGGTCAGTCGCTGATCAATAAGCCAGATATTCCCCGAAATAAAAGCATCAAAAGAAAACATGAAAGGCGCTAGCTACCCTGTATCGTTTTCAGAATCTACTTTCCATAGCAGATTGTTTATGAACGCCAAAAAAAAAAAAAATTACAGAAATCTCAAGTTGCCTTGGCAAAGGGTGCCGGGAGTGTGCTGGGTGTGAGCTGCGTTATCTCGGGATTTAATTGCTGGGATATTGCTTTGTGGGCTGTGGCGCCGGGGGCCTCGTGCTCGCCCTACCAGCGCCCTACTTCAGGGGTACACCCCCGCCCCGAGGCTTCCGCCCTAGCCTGAGGCCTCGTGGCTGAGAATTCAGAAACCCGAAGGCGCCCTTGAAGCCCGGCGGCCCGCCACGCGCGCGGGGACCGCGGCAGGCTCGGCGCTCCGGAAGGCGCGGTCATGTGACACCGACCTGCCGGTCCTGCCGCTGCTTCAGATGCACGCCGGCCACCGTGGCTGCCGTCAGCAGCACCGAGAGGCCCAGCACCGCCTTCGAGCTCCTCGACATTCCCGCTCCCGGCCGCGAACTCGCTCCCGCGTACGCCCCCACTGCTAACGCCGCCGCCGCCGCCGCCGCCGCAACGGGCCAGGCTCAACCCCTCGAGCGCAGAGCCGTCGCAAGAGCTCTGTCGTCGCCAGGCTCAAGCAATCGAGCGCCGAGCATAGTCCCTGCCTAACTTCACTTTGCCGCTTCTAGTGGGGGCCTGGAAGGGGGTTACCCGTTTCGGGACCGCTTCCACCAGGAAGTCGTGCTGGGCAGCCTTGGAGACGCAAAGGGTTGGGGGTGGGGTAGATGCGAGGACAACTCAACGTTGTGGGGTTGTGTGATCAGAGCCTGGATTTTCTTAGACTCTAAAAACTGGGTCGTTGGTTTCTTGCTATGCCGCTCAGACTGGCCTCAAACTCGCAATCCTTCAGCCTCAGCCTCAGCCTCCGCTACACCGTGTCGCCTACTCACAACTCCAGTTGGGAAATGCGAAGGATCAGGCAAGGATCCGGAAGTGTGTATCCCGTTTTTCTTTGATTCCCCTTGAAGACTGCCAGAAATGCAAGATCCTTATGTCATACTAACCAGAAAAATTAGAGACTAGAGTAGTTCACAAGAAGGTAAGGATGGTGTCATTTGCACTTCCCCCTTAAAAAGAAGCTTGGTTTCTGAGAACTCTTAAGTATTTAACCGAGCTGCCAATGAAGAACTGATATCACTAAATATCACTCCTGCCCACGAAAATACATATGCAAAGCTTCTTCTTCTTTCTTCTGTGAAAACAGCCATAGCCGATGTTGTTGATAGGGCTAATCTTGCTTTTCCCAGGGCTTCTCCAGCGTTCACCTCTGTTGGAAATGCACACCTTTAATCCTAGCTCTCCGGAGGCAGAGGCAGGTGGATCTCTGAGTTCAAGGCCAGCCTGGTCTACAGACTGAGTTCCAGGACAACCAGGGTTGCTACACAGAGAAACCCAGTCTCAAAAAACAAACAAACCAAAAAAGTATTGATCTTCCATTCTCTGTTAAGTGAACCTAAGTGGCATGAAGAAAATACTACTTTATGAACTGTAATAAAATAAATGAAAGATGCCCTTTTGCAAATGTCAGTCTAACTGACCACAGCATTTTAGCACCCTACGGAGGTTGTATCTTTGAATATAAAAATAGAGTTTGGACCTAGTAAATTTTGGAATGAGAAGTAATTCAGAATGTTTTTGCATATTTTTTAAAGAAATGAAAATTATGCCACGATACTTTCCACTTGTTGTAACCCCTGATTTTTTTCATCCAGTAAATTAGTGAGTGAAACAGCTATAAATAAACTTGGAGTAACACCAGAAAGTTAGAAGGCTTTCATTTTATTGTGATTATTTTTTCGATTTATCTTCTTGAAATGTATTCTGTCTTTTAAAAATCTTTCAAACCAGGCAATGGTATTGCATACTTTTAATCCCAGCACTCAGGAGGCAACAAAAGGCAGATATCTTGAGTTCAAGGCCAACCTGGTTTACAGAACAAGTTCCAGGAAAGCTAGCACTACACAGGGGAAGCTCCGTCTTGAAAAAAAAAAAGAAAAGAAATAAAAGAAAAGAAAAAAAAACTTTTAAAGTGTGCTCAATGAGACCAGCCTGGTCTATAAGAGCTAGCTCTAGGACAAGCTCCAAAACTACAGAGAAACCCTGTCTCAAAAAACCAAATAAATAAATAAATAAATAAGATGTGTCTAAAATGTAGACCAATGTTTATAAACCAAAGCAAGATGTTTTGTATAATTATTATGATTTAGCTTAGTGGCTGAATGACTGCATGCCATCAGACACTGAAAAGCAAAAAAAAAAAAAAAAAAAAAAAAAAACAGTGTATTTATTTTTGAGGTTTCTACTAAATAAATTTTCTTGTTTTCTCTCTTTTATGTCAAGACCTTTCAGAGAAAGCATCACTGATGAACAACTATTATTTTATGTCTTCGGCTCACTCCTATGTTTGAGGCACATCTGAAATGCTGGAAAGGCGTGTGACAGAGCCAGACGGTGCATGGTTCTTCCATCTTATATTCTTGCTATGTCCATTTTAGCTTTAACTAGAATTTGAACTCCTTGATGGAGAATCCTGTGCAAAGTTACACTATTCTAGAAACCCAAGGTCAAGATGCCCCAACTAACTTATCTTAGGTTGTGTTAAACTGCATGCTTATGCAAAACCTCCCCCTGAAGTTGCCACGTGAAATACCAGGATGTTGTTTTGCCTTTAAAAACTCCTTACCCTAAACACTGAGGGCTGCACTAGGGTCCCAAATACCTGAGTGCAATCCCAGCCAGCTGGAATAAAGACTCTCAGTTGCCTATACACTGTGTCTCAGTGGTCTTCTCTGATGGGCTCCCCATAACAGGCTTATCCCAGAGACCACATCCCTCAAAGGAGAGAAAGCTATAGGCAGTCAGCTTTCTTCTAACACAACTGTATCAATAAGAAAGAAGGCAGAAGAGACTACCCAAACACAATCAGGTTTCTCTATTTTGGAGTGAGAAGACTCACAAATTTTAAGAACTGACCCCCAAGGACAAAATCACAGTTTAAGGGAAAAAAGGACAGCCTTTTCAACAAACGGTGTTGAGAAAAACCTGGGTGTCCACATGTGGGGTAGTACCTCACCTACCAAACAACCTGGCCCAGCAGCACTGCACGCTGTAATGCGTCAGTGGCCCCTCATGGTTGTGAGGCTCCCCGGCAGCTGCACCGACTAGCATCATGAGAAAGGATTGCAAGAAAACATTAAAAGTCAAAATTGGAAAGCTCAGCGCTAGGCTCCAAGGCAGTTGCTTCCTTACTGAGCAGATGTCACTCAGATGTCACAGTATCACGAAGTCCAAAAACGGTAGGTGGAAACATCCTAAGTCAGACGCCTTCTGTACATGATTTGACAAAGTGATTTCAGATTCAGAATCCACTCACAGCATTAGAAAACAATGTTAATTTTACCAGTGTTAATAAAAAGAGAGCTTAGATCCTTTAAGCATAATTTAAATATACTTAAAAGTTATCTACCATTGCTTACCTAAGTATTGACTTCAGCTGACATACAATACTCTGTGTTGGCAAACACATGGAACAGCCGGAACTCTCTGTACACCTGGACCCATAATCCAGCAAACGTTATACAATTCACACAGCCAGCAGAGCTGCAGGCATATGTCCTTAAAAGATAAGGTAAAGCAAGGCAGGCTTAGTGTACATGCCTTTGATGCCAGCATGCAAGAGGCAGTGGAAGGAGAATCTGAATGTGAAGCAAGCCTGCCCAGCAAGTGAGCTCTAGGACAGCCAGGACTACTGACCCTGCCCCAAAATAAATGAATAAATAAGTGTACACAAATAAAAAATAGGTAAGGGATGGATAGATGGATCAGTGCTTAAGAACAATGCCTGCAGGGCTGGAGAGATGGTGCAGTGGTTAAGTTATGGTGCACATACTTATTCTTCATGCAGAAGGACCCACGCTCAATTCTCATCCCACCCATGGTGACTGACAACATATATAATTCCAGTTCCAGGGGACTTAACATCTGGCCTCCTGGGTACTGCATTCATGTGGTATACATTCATACATGCACACAAAAAACTCACATGCAAAGTAATAAAATTAAGTTAAATTAAAAAAAAAAAGAACAATGTCTGTTCTTCCAGAGGGCCCACACTCAATTCCCAGCACCCATGTGTGATATGGGATTCCCTCTGTATGTTGTGAATACAATTGGTTAATAAAAAAGCTGTTTTGGACCTGTGATACAGTAGAACAGCAGGCCAGGTCCTGACCCCTGAGGTCCTGACCCCTGACCACTCCACAGGGCTTAAATGATCCCCTCCCCCAAAAGAAGAACACGTGGTCTCCCTTTCTTCCTCCCAGGGGTCACGTGCCTGCAACTTCCCAGTTTCCCCCTCGGGGCCACCCAAGAGCGCAGATCTCCCCTTAAACCTGGATATTTTTTAATTTGGCTTGTTTTGTTTTGGCTTGATTGGGAATTTTTGCGTCGTCAGGGAGCTAATATTAAGAAATATTCCTAACAGCAATTAAAAAGGAAGACTGGCTCAGGCGGTGGTGGCACACACTTTTAGTCCAGGTACTTGGGAGGCAGAGGCAAGTGGATCTCTGTGAGTTTGAGGCCAGCCTGGTCTACAGAACGAGTGCAAGGGACAGGCTCCAAAGTTACGCAGAGAAACCCTGTCTTGAAAAAACAGAAATAGGCCGGGCAATGGTGGTGCACGCCTTTAATCCCAGCACTCCGGAGGCAGAGGCAGGTGGATCTCTGTGAGTTCGAGACCAGCCTGGTCTACAAGAGCTAGTTCCAGGACAGGCTCCAAAACCACAGAGAAACCCTGTCTCGAAAAACCAAAAAAAAAAAAAAAAAAAAAAAAAGAGAGAAAAAAAAGAAAAGAAAAAACAGAAATAAATAAACAAATAAATAAATAATAAAGAGGGCTGCCTCATAAACATGCTCGTCATCCCTGCATGAGAATCTCGTCTGTACTATTCCAACTTTCATATGTGTGCTGCTGAAGTGAGCACTTTAATGCTTCTAAATACTTCCCTACTTCTGGCACTCTAAGGAGCACCAGACCTATCGGCTTCCTACCCTAGTCCTAGAGTCAGCCATTTCTCCAATGGGACCTGCGCTGTCACCCTAAAACATTGCCACCAGCACTGCCACTTTAGGGCCCATTTTGTGATCTAACAGTCTTATTTAGGCCATTTCATTTAACAAAGGAAATCAATATACACACTAACCTGTGTATGTACAAGTGTTTCCCCTATGATCTCTCCATGCAACCATTTGAATTTACAGTCAGTAAAACGTAAGTTGTTCTCTTGTCCCCAGCTCTAAACTCTGGCTCCAGCAGTGAATTTGTTTGTTTGTTTATCTCTTTTCAGGACAGGATTTCTCTGTGTAATAGTCCTGGTTGTCCTGGAACTTGCTTTGTTGACCAGACTAGCCTTGAACTCAGAGATCCCCGTGCCTCTGCCTCCCAAGTGCTGGGATTAAAGGCATGCACCACCACTGCCTAACTGAGTTTATTTATTATAGGGGGCTTTCTTACAGTTTCAGAGAGTTACAGTTCATGGTCATCGTGGTAGGGAGCATGGCAGTAAGCAGCAGGCATGTTTACACCTTGAGGTAACAAGAATAGCATGGCCTTTTGAAACATCAAATCCCAAGCCCAGTGACACACTTCCACCAGCAATGCCACGCCTCCAAATCCTTCCCAAACAGTTCCACCAACTAGAGTGTAGCGAGCTGGGTGGTGTCACACCTGATGGAGATGTATAATCAACTCCTATGGCTAAAGTCTGACCTATGCTATGATCACGCAATGATTATCAGCTGCTTGCATATGCGTGAACCTATGGGCAGTGCCCACCTGGCAGTTTGGGGTTGGCAGCCCATGCCTACTTAAGGGCTGGAAGAGGTTTGCCCAAGGAGAGAGGAGAGAGAGGAAAAAAGAAAGAAGGGAGAGAGGAAGGAGAAGACGGAGAGAGAGGGGAGGAGAGGAAGAAAGAAAGAGAGTGAATAAAGGTCCTGGAATAAACTGCAACGAGAAGAGCTCTGGTGGTTGTGTCATTCCCTGCGGGACGAGGGTGACCGTGACACTAGAGGCCAAGCACTCAAATACAAAAGCCTATGGGGGGGGGGGGGGGACATTCTCCTTCAAACATCACATTGAACAATGTGGCTCTGTCTATCGTCTTCTACTACAGAATTGTTAAATCAGTCTGTGTGGAGGAGGCTCTCGGGATTTTAACCTTCACCCCATGGTAAGAATTTTCTCAGCTAACTACCATGCTGGTGTGAGGTTCCAATTGCTATTATCTTGTAATCCCATCATTCTAAAGTTTTGTGGCTCATATTCATTCTTCAGTTACTGAATCAGTATGGTTTCCCTACATCCTGCATTGAGGTTTCTTCTTCTGTTTGTGAAACAGATCTTGTCATAGCTTGAACTCCTTCCTGCCAGCATGCATCAAACCTCTCTTACTCGGTACACTTTTTTTTTTTAAATATTTATTTATTATGTATACAATATTCCATTTGTGTGTGTGCCTGCAGACCAGAAGAGGGCACCAGACCCCATTACAGATGGTTGTGAGCCACCATGTGGTTGCTGGGAATCGAACTCAGGACCTTTGGAAGAGCAGACAATGCTCTTAACCACTGAGCCATCTCTCCAGCCCTACACTTTTTTTTTTTTTGAGACAGGATTTCTCTGTGTATCCCTGGCTGTCCTGGGACTTTCTCTGTAGATCAGGTTGGCCTCAAACTCAGAGCTCCTCCTGCTTCTGCCTCCTGAGTACTGGGATTAAAGGATTAAATATATTTTATATCTTAAATATATTTATACCTCTTTGCTTGATTTATCAGCTTGAAATGATTGGTTTTTGTTTTTTTTTTTTTTTTTTGTGCTCTCCGGGTCTGTCTTAGGATTCCTATTGCTGTGATGAAACACCACGACCAAAAACAACCTGAGGAGAAAAGGGTTTATTCAGCTTACACTTCCACAGCACTGTTCCTCACTGAAGGAAGTCAGGACAGGACCCTCAAACAGGGCAGGAACCTGGCGTCAGGAGGTGATGCAGAAGCCACAGAGGGGTGTTGTTTATTGGCTTGCTCAGCTAGCTTTCTTTTTTTTGTTTGTTTTTTGTTTGGGGGGTTTTTTGTTTTGTTTTGTTTTTGTTTTTTAAGACAGGGTTTCTCTGTGTAACAGCCCTGGCTGTCCTGGAACTTACTTTGTAGACAGGCTGTCCTCAAACTCACAGAGATTCACCTGCCTGTCTCCCAAATGCTGGGATTAAAGGCATGCTTCACCATCACCTGGCTTTCTGCCTGCTTTCCTATAGAGCCCAGGACCCCAAGCCTAGAGGTGGCCCCAGTCACAATAGGCTGGGCCCTCCCGCATCAATCACTAATTAAGAAAATGCCCAACAGACTTGCCTGCAGCCTGACCTTATGGAGAAATTTAAGGTTCCCTCCCCTCTAATGTCTCTAGCTTATATCAAGTTGACATAAAAATACCAGCATAAAGGCCAAAGATGATAAAAACCACCTTCCTGCCTGTGTCTCTTTCTTACTCAACTCTTGTTAGCTATAACATAATATTGCTGCTCAGTTTTGTTTTTTTTTTTTTTGTCAACAAAACATAAGCTAGGGGCTGGAGAGATGGCTCAGAGGGTAAGAGCATTGCCTGCTCTTCCAAAGGTCCTGAGTTCAATTCCCAGCAACCACATGGTGGCTCACAACCATCTGTAATGAGGTCTGGTGCCCTCTTCTGGCCTGCAGACATACACACAGACAGAATAT